GAATAAACATCGGCTTCGGATTTCTCGCCTCTGCCGAAACAACAGAAAGAGAAGTTCCAGCCTATCTTGGACTTCTCTTTATTTGCAGGCGGACCTCTGGACATTGCGCGCTGGGAATTGGCTTTCATTTCCAGCTCCTTTTCGTACTTCATAAAAGCCTGTCTGAGTCTTGCTAGCTTGGCTTTGTCCCAATGAATCTTGGGATTCTCTCACTCTGTACGTTCGGGAGGATGCTCTGAGGACTCCGAAGAAGGCCCACTGACGCCTGGATCCTTCTGACACTCCGAAGACTCTGACGGAAGTCCTCCATCTTCTGGAACCTTCGAATATTCCGAAGATTCTGGCGGAAGCCCACTGACTTCTGCGTCCGGAAGAGAATCATTCGCCTCTTCCCCTCTCTCCTCAACCTTCTCTTCACTTGGAGGTCTTCGTCTGAAGATCCTTCCAATCCACCTCCAAAAACTCTTCTTTTCACTCATTCTCAAAAATCGCAAGAAAACTCTCCAACCGCTTCGAAAAAATCGAAAAACAAAGATATTGTTGGCGCGCGTCAACAATTCTTTGTTGTCCATAGAACTTAATTTTAGAAATTTCGTTTTATACCCCTCATAAGGACTTAAACCAGAGATTTAAAATATTTTAACACTCACAAGCCGACAAATTTTTTCCAATAATTTCGAAAATAAAAAAAGTATTTCTAGAGAAATAATCAGAAACGACCACAAATTATGCACTTGGATTGGAAGGATCTTCGGACGAAGACCTCCAAGTGAAGAGAAGGTTGGGGAGAGAGAGGAAGAGGCGAATGATTCTCTTCCGGACGCAGAAGTCAGTGGGCTTCCGCCAGAATCTTCGGAATATCCGAAGGTTCCAGAAGATGGAGGACTTCCGTCAGAGTCTTCGGAGTGTCAGAAGGATCCAGGCGTCAGTGGGCCTTCTTCGGAGTCCTCAGAGCATCCTCCCGAACGTACAGAGCGAGAGAATCCCAAGATTCATTGGGACAAAGCCAAGCTAGCAAGACTCAGACAGGCTTTTATGAAGTACGAAAAGGAGCTGGAAATGAAAGCCAATTCCCAGCGCGCAATGTCCAGAGGTCCGCCTGCAAATAAAGAGAAGTCCAAGATAGGCTGGAACTTCTCTTTCTGTTGTTTCGGCAGAAGCGAGAAATCCGAAGCCGATGTTTATTCAAACAACCATCAACAATATTGCAACAAGGGATACGATAGCCAATATCTGGGTAAGTGCACATTTTGGCAGATTGCGCGTTCTCTTCATTCGATTCTTTCTTCGACGAAAAATTTAATCTTGGATTTAATTTTGCAGACATTGCAGAGTAATTCGAGAAGAAAATTGGCGTACATTTTGAGAGAAGAGAGATCTTCTTGCGCTGTACCTTCTTAAAGCAGGCGCCGGTCAAGTGGAAAGAATTTTATCGATTTGTGAAAGGCTCCCAGATTGGACATTTAACCCGAATGTGACAGTTTTTCTCGGATGTGTGACGTTAAATCCCGGACGTGACAGGATGATGATTCTTAAATGGATATTGGAAGATAACACAGAAATCACTTGATGTTTGTTGTTTAAAGACGAATGACGGATGGTTCTGTTTCATGATTTAACATCAGCTAATGAACTGATTTTGACAACTTTAAATAGATTGTAAAGTCATAAATTTCGAACCTCGCAGTCAAGTTCAAATACCCACATACGCCAGTTAAATTCAAAACACATATATATATTGAAAGTAAACGTATGTACAGTTACAAAGGTTCACAAAACATACATTTACAAAACGTCAGATGTTAACAAAGTTCATCACATTTATCCACTACAACAGGTCCGTCGAAAAGACACCTTGCGACGAACTAACTATAAAATCAATTACAGCACAAAGAGACGAAACAATCTTCGGGGCCAGTTTAGGCGAATTAGTCAAACGTGAGTTCCCTTCTTGCGTCCAAGGCGAACTGAACTTCCCGCCACAACTCAATCCTTTTATACGGATTGAAGTCAATCGGCTTCCACCAATCAGCGCTTAGTAGCGCTACAAGACGTCCGCCGATGGTCCGATATCTCTCAACCAATCAGCGGTCGAGTCTTCAAAAGTGGTCCGATTGCTGTTTCTATGGAGACAACCTCGTTAGTCGAACGAATGGAAAAGCGCGGGAAATCGCATGACAGACGATTTTATCCCGACACTCGCGCATGTGTATTTATATATGAATAGGCCTATGTAGTATAGTAAAAAAGTATTTTGTATTGAAATTTGAATTAAAAATTACACACAGTATTCTGAGGAAATTGTTAATCATTGTTCAGTAAGCAAATTTTGAACAATTTTGTTTACTATTTTTTATATTCTGACAAAAAATTTCATTTAATAACAATGCAGTGCCGTAACTAGCCATTCCTGTGCAAGAATTTGCATTTAGGTCCCTTAATTAGGTTTGGGAAAATAAAACAAATACATACATTTTGGACCCCTCTTCCAAGTAGGCCCTGTGCGATTGCACTTGCTTAGTTACGGCACTGATCAAATGAATGGATAGACCAGTGTTCCGCAACCGGTGTGTTGTCACAAGGTGAAAGATGTGACGTGAACTTTTACATATATAAATAAGAGTTGAAATTAATAGATTTTTATCATCACAGTTGCTGTTTTTTATGCTTGTATTTCATTCTCTGCCGCAGCACCGATGAAATATGATGTTTATTCTTTATTACAAGACACGCATTTTTATGTATTCTAAGAAATTAAATGTAAAACAAATTTGCACACAGGTGTTGATGTCTGTTTAATAATAATAGTATTGTGTAATGCCACTAACCTATTATCAATTGTATCATACGTTTTTGAGGGGAATAACATTTGGAGTGCCGTGTTGAGTCAGGTGTGCCGCAAGTAACGTTTGAAGTATCTTAAACTGAATTTTTAACAAAATTTGAAGTAACGTTAAAAGTTTGTATTTATTTAGCTTATTTTAATCTCTCATTATTACTAACGTTTAATTTACAATAGTTATGAATTTAACACTCATCGATGCTAGATAACGACTGCTGTTAAAAATACGCAAAACTTTGACCTAATAAAACCTTTACTAATTAATTAGTAAAGGAAAGCAACGAAGTCTGAGGAAGGTTGTAATGTCAATGATTGAAGTGAAAAACGAACTTATCGCATAGCATGAAACCTGTGCTCGTGTAGCAGAATTTAGCATTTCTTAGAGAACCGCTCTTTATATCAAAGGCGGTGAACATTATTTTGTTAAGTTTTTAACATTTAGTACTGTACTGTAACTTTATATCCTTAATCTGTTTTATCTCCTAGAACACAGGTTCTCAAACATATTTCGACCACTGCCCACTTTGAGATTAAAAAAATATAGTGCCCCATATTTTTTAACTTACCTTTTTACATTACCATCTGTTGCGTATGTTAAACTGTTATTGCAAATATAATGTTTAAACATGCATTATTATATGAATAGGATAGATATAAATAGTATATGGGTCACACCCTGAGATCAAAGAATGTTTTAGGGAGAAGAAATAAAACTCATATTTAAATCACCGAGCCCTCTACTGCCCCCAAAAGCCTTCAGCGCCTACTAGGGGCGTTATCGCCCACTTTGAGAAACGATGTCCTAGAATAAGAACGAAGCAAATGTGCTAGATCTTTAACGTGTACTCACTGTGGCTGTAGCTAAGCAAGCAGCAAACAGCAGCAACTTTGAAAATTCAGAAAAAAAACAATATACTTTTTTTTTATAACTTGAAGTTTCTTGCAAAATATCAGATTTTATATATAAAATTCTTATGGATTAAGATACTTTATATCTTATTGGAAGCTTTATATATGATTTAATATATAGAATAATATCTATTAAATTCTCTTAAGAAAATTTTAATCTAAATTAATACAAAATCAAGTCCTAAAATTTACTTTAAATTGCTAAGATACATTTTTTAGGTATGTTCTGCTCTGAATGAACAAACATTTTCCTTCATATCTGTGGATTAATTAAAAACACAGTCTCTTCCGTTCTTATGGAACATAGTTCATCCTGACATGACTTTAAAAGTAACACAGAATTAACTTATAGTTGTTTTGTTCTAATTTTGTATTATTCGCAAATCAATATAAAAACCACAAAGTTTTGTATTTGTAAGAGATTGTGGTGCAGGGGAGAGAAACCCAGAGTGTCTAGTATGCTTAAAATGTATTTAAATTTTTAAAATAGTGGACTCCCATACAATATGAGAATACGTTCCACATTACAGAAAATTGCATTATACGAGACAATGCATTATCATATAATTTATGAAAATTTATATTTGCATTATAATGGGAGTTTACTGTATTGCAACAGATATTACATACCATCCATTTTTCGTAACACATTTTCTCCATGCAGATATGCATGTTTGCCAAGATATCTGCAGAAACAAATCTAGAAATTTTTCTCTGAAATTACGTCCACTGATTCTTCTTTCCTATATTATTAATGCTGTGCTGTGCATATGTTCATAAGTTTTATAGTAAACTATATAATGGTTTATAAGCATAAGTCATCTAATACAAATCAACACCTTCCTTACTCTTTCCATTCCAAATTGGACGTTAAAACACTTCAGTTTGGAAAGATCAGTAAACACAATCTTATTTTCAAATAGTGTAAAACCTGAAGCAGGCCCCTAAATAAGTCCAAAAATATTGCGAGATATATATATATATAAAATATTGCGAGATATATATATGTCAACAATAACTTGTTTTGGTACCTTATATATACTATATTTCAAAATATTTTATAAAACTTCAATAGTTTTGAAATAAAAATTTCTGTAAATTAAAAAAAAGGGTGGTCTTTGTATTAATGATTACACTTACACATAATTTTAACTGATGAAATTAAAATTTTGGTTACATTTTATACAATTCATTAATGAAAACAAAATTGCAAAAATCTGTTTCAAAAGTTTGAAATAAAGAGAAACTGTAAACATGACAATTAAGCTTTAATCTTTAATCATTTCAATGATGAGTAATGATTTTTAAACATTCAGATTAAAATATCAAATATCGATTTCTGCATGAAAATATACAACAATTTAAAGATCAACATTTATAAAATATACTTCCATTTAACAGACTAGATTTAGGCACCTGATCCAGAGAGAAAAGTGTGCATAATAATTCATATTAAAAGTCATTATATATTATTTCAAATGCAGTATATCTGGCTAAACATCTGAAAATAAGGTTTAACAAAAAATACTGAACATTAATAATCTTCTGATTAACAAATCTATACTAAGTTAACGAAGAATTTAGGAGTAAAATTTATCACAAAAGTTAAGGTCAATGTTACTCAGAGTTTAAGTACTCAACTAAAAATTACAAATTAATTCGTTACAGTCCTAAAATTTAAAGTAAAAAACATTGCTAAGGCACTAAGTTGACATCAATTTAACAAGTTTAACTAGTTAGTGTAATGTCACAATCTGAAGGAGCTACAGTATATGTAGATGATCCTTAATATTTCTAAGTTATAATATTGGGACAAATGGGAACAAATTACATGCCAGATACCAAAGCAAGCAACATTCTTTTGTAATCCCCAGAAGTATCATCCTAAAAAAAAATTGAGAATTTTTATATAAAAAATATTTTGTATATATAAATAAATATAAATTTATATGAAGTTAAATTTACCTCAATAGCTTCTTCCAATGTTTTACCAAACTGATCATAATATTCCTGCTTAATTTGAACAAGATCCTTCTCACATCTAGTGACAATAAGTCTTATTAAATCCCTGTCACATGTTCCTGCACCCTGAAAAAAAGTTAAATTCCTATGAGCAAATAATATTACTTTCATGTAAATTATTTTAACTACAGAGGGACAGAAGATTTTACATGAAAAATGAAGCTCTCAATTAAACAAAACATTTAAAAATGATGATATACTCTGAAATAAAAAATTTGAAAGCATATTTTCTAAAATTTTAATGGTTGGGTTGATGTATACATTTTCAAAAATCTTGCATATTTAGGTTTAGCACTACAGAGTAAACAAATTTGAAACATAGGAATATCAAAGCAATAGAAGCAGATAAGAAGTAATTCTTTTGTAATTTTGCTATAAGTGAAAAGATCTTGTCAATTCTTGTGTATACACTGACTAGCCAAAACATTGACTATCTTGTTGATAGAAGAATTAATCCTACAGATGTACAGCAATACATATACAAGATCAATACAATAGAATGCAATACAATACAAGATCAGATTAGGTATATAACAGCCAAGAAGATTTCACAAGCAGTAATTTCTTAGTGTTCAAATAGGTAAAAAAGGAAAAGATTAATCTGATTTCAACAAAGACCAAATTGTGACTGCCAGATATGTTGGTGTTAACATTTCAAATAGCAAAGCACACAAGCTACTCTTTGCATTCACAGTAGCAAACAGCCACCAATAATGGCTAAAACAAATCAAACTGTTGGCAAGATGCTGGCTACAACTCATCGATGAAAGAAGTAGGCATAAGCTGTTTTGCACAGGAGGCTACTGTGGCAAAAAACTCAGTTTCAATAGTGATAGCAGTGAGTATTAGAATACTGAAAGACTCCTGAATTAGTTTCATGAATGTTTCAATCATGTTCCTCTGTTAACAAATGTATGTTCAACAGCACTTGATGTGCATGTCAACATTAAAATTAAACTGTTGAAGAATGAAAGAAGTCTGGTTTGATAAGTCACAATTCATGTTATCCTATGTAGACAGTCAAGTACATGACTGTCTACATAGACAGTCATGACTTGACTGTCCACATTTTCCACAAGACCTTGTCATCTTGACAATGACACAGACAGAGGCAGAGAACATTATGGTTTGTGCAATGTTTCTCTGAAAATGCTTGGATCTATCATCTCTGGGAATGGAACTGACAGGTGTCATTTACTTGAACATTGTTGCAAATCAATTATACCCTTTCATTGCAAACATTTTTTGTGACAGACGTTTTCTAACAAGACAAATGTCCATTTCATATGGCTACAGTTGTCAGGGAATGGTCCCAAGAACATGAGTTAATTATTACCATAAGCTCCAAATTCTTAAAACAAATTCAACTGAGCACTTGTGGTTTGAGTTGGAGGAAAGATTCATGATGCATCACTTCAACCATGTAATCATCCATAATACCAACACTACTGGTGTAAGAATTAATAAAATAACTACGAAATTACCAACAAACCAGCAATAATTCACTTCAAAAACAAACGTTTTCTACCGTCTTCAACAGTCATCATCAGGTTCTATTCCAAGAGTTCAAAAAATTGAACATCAAAGTTATGAGCATGTCTGATGCAAGGCCTTAATAAAATTATTCCTGTAATTGGTTTCCTGTTTTAAAATTCCGAAGTTTATACAAAAAAAAATGTAGACATATATGATGCGCATCCATTATACGTCATAATACACCATCCACATCGTCGCCAATGAATCAGTTTTTTATTGAAATTGATGGCTGTTCCCTTTCTGAACACTTTAAAAATTTTCAGCTGTTCTAGATATTTCAGGCTGGCCTGGTGTTCACACCTTTGTATTAAACGTGTATGATCAAAGTCCACCCTGACATCATCAAGCGCAAAAGAAGCCAATGCTGTAGTGGAAAGGAATTTTTTAATTGAGTATTTGTGTTCCTTGGCCTTGTTTTAAGTCAGCATGTGGTAGCACCAATATATTCACCCAGACGATTCACCCTATGATCGTAAATAGGGATAGAATATACTCCCGGAATACAGTTCCTATCGAAACGGTCCTTATCATTTCGTAAACACAAGAAAATGGTCAGCGATCTTCTGTAAGCGATAGTTTTACTCGCATAACAAGCGATTTGTTTAAAGTGCTATGAAGGATCATATGCTGTTTTAAGTAATAGGAACAAAGGACAGGTTTTCCTGAAGTGCCGCATTCCTAGGTTGTTGGTGGCATGCAATAAGTTCGTTAATTTGGCACGTAGGATAACCATGCAGTCTAGCCACATTCGAAATAGATTCCAATTCCATTTTCCTATCCTCTGCACTTGAACAATGGGTGAAAGCTCTTCTTATTAGGGTCTTAAAAACAGACCTTGTAGCCAAAAGGATCATGTGATTTGGCATGTATAAATAGCGGCGCATACGAGTTCTTACGGAATACCTTAGTTGTTTATCGACCCCGTATAAGCTGATATCAATAACGAGAAAATGCACACTGGTGGAGCTTTGCTGTTCTACTCTCAACGAGAGGCCATAAGCGTTACTATTGAAAGTTTCAATGAACGCTGCCAAGTCCAGTTTCTTCTTCCAAACAATGAACACATCCTCTCGGAATTGAACCTGATGATGACCGTTGAAGACGGTAGAAAATATTCGTTTTTGAAGTGAATTATTGCTGGTTTGTTGGTAATTTCATAGTTATTTTATTTATCAACCATGTAATTTAGAGGAACTGAAGGCTTTCTAGTAACATGGTAGTTGTCCAATGAGAGTGAAAACCACAAGTTTATCAGAATCTGTCTTGCCAAAGGCTGTTTTGGAAGTAAGGAGGATTAACATTTATTAAATACATAGTCAATGTTTTGGCTGATTGTATGATGCCAAATACACTATGTAGATTTATGCCTAGTTAAAAATTTGAATATGTACAGGGACATTATATTGTTAGAATATTCCTAAGTTTACCAAGGATAGTACAAAAATATGCAGTGAAAAATGGGAAAAGTAAAATTAATAAACTATATTAAAACAGCCATTAAAACAATTGAACAAGTTAGTTGTAAATACTAGTTTATATTTGATGTAATATTTTTAAAATTTCAGTACAGAAGTTTAATATGAATTTTACTAGTTTCACTTGTGTTTTTAAATTACACTTTTAACAAATAATGTTCCGAGTATTTGTATTAAGTAAAATTTTTTAAATTGAAGAAAGAAGGTAATTTTGATGCTTTTCAAATTACATAGAAAACATATCTTATTTATTAATTTGAAAGCATCAAAATAAATTTAAGGTCATTTTCAGATGTGCTCTAGAAAATATGGAGGGAAAAAACTAGTAAATTTAGGACTATTAAAATTTAAAAAGTTTACCTTCATTGCTTTATTTATTCTTTCAGCAAAGAAAGATGGTCTATATTCAACACAATGCACTGGAAAAAAAAATAATTTTATTAGATAAAAAGTAAGTTATGTTAAATATAACTAATTAGGATGAACTTACCTACTGTTAACCAACCCTGTTTAACATCACCAGAAAATTCTCGTTCAACAGCATCACTCATAGTATGTCCAGTTAGTTGTTGGTATTCATAAAATACCATAGCTAAATGATCCCAACTGCGTGTTGCTAAAATCATGTTAAAAACAGATTCATCTGTACCCCATTGTCCTTCTCCAGCATTGTATAAATCCTGAAGTAATTGAGTTATGAATAATTTACATTTATAAGTTTGTAAAATTCATATAAATATTTACCTGAGCATCTTGTTTTGCTCCATCTGGATCTGCATAGCCATCATTTCTTGCTCCCTAATATTAAGTAAATTTTTATAAAAGTCTTAATTACTAGCAGAAAACAATCTGCATATTTAAATATTAAATTAGGCAAACAATTAAGAGTTGTTAGAAGTCAGGCTATTAGCAACTTTTGTTAAATTACCTGACTGCCAGATTTATTGGCTATGTTTAAGCTGCTACGTGAATTATTAATCAAATTTTTAGCAAAAATTGGATTTATTTCTGAACTTTAAAATTCTATTGAATCCAAATTTATCCAAAAATTATACAGTAAAACCCGTCTATGGCGACCACCCACGGTTCCTTCAAAAAGTGGTCTTTTAGACAGGTGGTCGTTCAATACAGGTAGTACTGTAATACCGTATTTCCGTACATATTTTGCGCACTTTTTAGCCATTTCTACTAAGCAAAACTCGAGGTGAGCAAAAATAAGCGAATTTTTTCAACGATAGGGCTATATTGGTATTGTATTTTATTCTTACAGGAGTCCCGACATACAGGAGTCGTCATATTATAAGACACATTTAACACCAATACTTTAAAGATTAATACAATGCTCGCATTTTCTCCATTATAATGCACACTTTCTCCTTTCCGACTTAATTAATTCGACTCGGTTCTTTTCGTTCGCTCCTCAGTTACGTGTATTACGTCACCAGTATATAAGCGCGTCGTATCTCTCCATCACTTTGCTTTTCGTTAGTTTAATCTTATTTTAACTTTAAAAATATTGTATTTTTTAATATTTAATATTTTCTTAATTAATTAAGTACAATAAGAAAAATTATTAATTAATAATGAAACGATTTTATTATTTTTTCTCATTATACGATTTCATTACAATCGCGGAATCGAAAAAGGAAGTAAAACTGATTTTTGCATTAATGCGTTTATTGTTTTTTGAATATTTTGCCTGCGAAAATTACTTNTCATGTACAGTACAGTACACGTGCGATAAATAGTAGAGAGGTTGAGGCAGACGTTTTAAACGTGTAAACGTGTACGTGTGACGTTCGGCGCCGCTTTCCCGTAAGCCTAAAAGTTTGACGATGGTGTTTGGAATGTCGAGCGTGATTCCACCGACTATCCAAACACCATTGTCAAACTTTTAGGCTTACGGGAAAGCGGCGCCGAACGTCACACGTACACGTTTACACGTTTAAAACGTCTGCCTCAACCTCTCTACTATTTATCGCACGTGTACTGTACTGTACATGAGCTTCAAAATAAATAAATAAAAATAGATTTTATCAAACGATGAATGAGATCACCCGATTAATTGTATCGTGTACAATATCTTACACCCCCAAGGAAAATACTATAGTATTTTCCTTGGGGGTCTAGGGTAAATTTATGTTTTACCAAAATAAATTTTGTTTCTCACAATTAAACTTCGCCGCTAATTACTGTTGTGATAACTTTAATACGATCTTCTAACGACAGCGCTTTGCATTTCGGACATTTTCCAACAAACTGAAATGAATTTCCTTTGTTGCTAGACTAATTTATTAACACCTGCACCTAATTTCAAGGGTGAGAGAAGTGCCCGGGATGGGTTCGAACGAGAGTTTAGACTAATTCATTATATTAGGAGGTGGAAACGTTGTTGAGATGGGATCTTACTATAGTTTAGACCAGATACATTCGCGAAAGTGGTCGCTTATTACAGGTGTTGTATGTTGTTTCGGACCAAAAATCGATGCCCGCGGTCGCGTTACACAGGTGGTCGTTTAATACAGGTAACTTATACGAAGACTCTATGAATAAACTATTCCGTGCCAGAAATTTTTGTCCGTTTTGACAGGTGCCCGTCGAATGCAGGTGGTCGCCTAGACAGTTTTCACTGTATATCAATGCAAAATTTTCTATATAACCTGATTTCTGTTAAACAGATCTAATCATTCACAATATGGCAGTTTATTTTGCAATGCATCATCTCATTAAATCTCAAATGTTTTAGCTAATTTTTTCATTAAATGTTTATAATTAACACATCTACACACATATCTAATAAACATTTCAGTTAGTCTAGAAGACTGACTTGTATACATCTAAATAAATAAATAATAATAAAACTCAAAATATTAAAAACAATTCCATTTATTTTTAATTTAAAAACAAAAAAAAAAATGCAAAGTATTTTCTTTGCTAGATATGTTGATGAAATTACTATTGTGTATTAAAATGTTACAGCAGAAAAAAATTGTGCGGCATGCCAACAAAATGAATCTGAATATCTAATTTGCATACAAATGAAGAAAATAGAGAAATCAATTACTTAAATAAAATCACTATTAAAAGAACAGATGAAGATCTTCAATTCCATGTTTGAAAAAAACATGTAAGGAAAACCATTAATTTTCATTCTCATTGCTCAATAGATACTATAAACACATTTAGAATGGAATTAAGAAACAAATAAATAAAATATCACTAATTCTGCTTGTGACTCCCAAAAAACAGGTTCATATAATAATTGAACATCTGAAGTAGATGAAAAAGTGAAGACATCTGTGTAGTTTACAAAATAATTGGTACATGTGATCAGCCAAAATATTACACCAGCAAAACGAAATGTCCATTAGGAAAAGACTGGCAGAGCACAAGGTGGCTATTCAACAGATAAAAATTCATCTTGGCAACAGCCCTGAACAAAGTAAATGTATAACAAACAGAATATTGTATAAAGAAAATATTTTATTATAAAACAAAAAATTAAAGATTATTATTCAATAATAAAATATGATAACATTAAATTAAAGGTATGATGATAGATGCATGCTGGGATATATAAAATTGTATTAAATATAAATACAGTCTTCACACTAGATGATTTTATGAACATTCTATGAAAAATGAATGTATTAAAAATAACACTTGTCAGTGGATGAGGAAAAACATTAATCATGAGGCCTAGCTGTGTCATCTAGACCAACAGTCGCCAACCAGTGGTCTGTGGAGAAATTTGGACATTGATCAACTTAAGTCTATGCAGAGTATTAAAAAGAAATGTGAAATGCTTGGTTGCTTTTTCTCACTCATTGGTTTAAGATTAGAATAATAAATTTCCAAAACATGAAATGACAGGTCAAATAATCATTATATGACAACAATAAATAATGTGAGTGCAATTGTCCTTTATTGATTCTTGATACTTTTCCCACAAACTTATTTCAAACAAGCAGCAACAAACTTCACACTAATTTATTATTAAACAAATAAATTTCATAATAAAGTAAAATAAGAGGAAAGGAACTTTTATAATCGTTATTCTATTGTTTCAAGAAAAATTCATGATAGTAATCTGCAAGATTCAAAATTGTGTGTGTTAGTGGTATGAGGTTAGAAAGGTTAGTGATCACTGATGTAGATGAAATGCATCTGGAAGTGAAAAATTCAGGAAGTAACAATAAAAGCATCTCTTAATTTTTGAAGATTTAAAAAATAATAAAAAAAATTGGCTTAAAGTTTTCTATTTCGATCTTCTGTTTTTAAATATTAGGTTGGGGAAAAAGAAATCCATTATTTTTTCACTAGATGGCTGTAGTGATACATATCTCATAAAAAATTGATGACACAAGTTCAGACTTGTGCTTATTGGAAAAGTAACATTCTGTACTAAAAAAAATTCTTTTACAGTTTTTTGATTGGTCAATTCAGTTGTGAGTTATAGGGTGTAAAAGATGGAAGTTAACAAAGAGAAAATTAGATATGTTTTACAATTTTGCTTCGATAAAGGCGAAAATGCAAGCCAGGCAGCTGAAATTGTGAATGGTGTTTATGGTCCTGATACTGTCACAGCCAATTATGTGCAATTTTGGTTTCGTCAGTTCCGTTCTGGTAATTTCGATGTTAAAGATGCACCTCGCACAGGTAGGCCCGTTGTCGAAAATGTCAATAAAATCATGGAAATGATAGAAGTAGACTGGCACGTTAGCACTCGTAGCATTGCCCAGGAGCTAAAGATTGACCATAAAACAGTT